TGTTGTACTTCTGAGTAATAAAGCTCTTAAAATATGGATGTGGAGTAATTAGCTTAGTAGCATTTAACTGTTGCAAATCTGCAACATCTGCCTGGAGAGGGTTAGCCTTTAAAACAATGTGGAGGACTCATGAATCAATCGTAATTCATCAACCTCTTGTCGCTCCAGAACAGGACTCCTCCAGCTGCCCTGCCCTCTGTTCTGCTACAATGTCTCTGTTTATTTTCACTCTTCTATCATAAGTAAAGTACAATTAACTCTTTAGAATCCAGGTGTGTTATGCTTAGTTGAAACCAGCCAGCAGCAGATGGGAGCTCCTTCTAGTTGATCATATAGTGAGGCAGCAGGAAGGGCGCTTAAAGATCCAGGGGCAATCAGGAGACACGCAAATCTAGGTTAAAATAATTTCTTTCCATCCATCCGTTTTCTGACACGCTTATCCCTGCTGGGGTCATGATGGGTGCTGGTTCCTATCTCCAGCTGCCAATGGGTGAGAGGCGGGGTATATCCTGTCGTCAGTCCATCGCAGGGCATCATTGATTAAGATATACATGATTAAGATAAATTTATTGGCAATATTGATCCATCGGTTATGAATAGTCCTCCTGTAAATTTTCTGCTTTTGACCTAATAAAAAACCCTATCCAGTGCACGGTCTACAGTAGTGAGAGAACGTCCCTCCTTATCTGTTCACCAATGTCGCTTATAACTCTGTAATCTTCCCTGTTTTCCTGCTTGAACTCATTAGCTCGGGTTACAGGGTTCTGACGACATCCTGGCTTTCCTCTTTATCTTTTTATACACGTCAACCTAAAGTCTGATTAACTTTTCCGCTTGCACAGACTTGTTTTCATGCTAAGCTGTTTGCCGAAATGCTAGGCTAATGTTAGCATGCTCATTTCCCGATTTGACACGACTTTGATTTTTTAAGTCTTTTGATGCATCTTCAGCTTTTAAAACAAAAGTTCATATAAAAGGTTGATTTCATGTCTCATCCATTTTTAAACATTCGTTTTGAACATCATAAAATGTAATAAATATAATTTCAGCTGCTTACCTCTTGTTTTATCGGCTGTGCAGAAGGTTTTACTTTTACAGGAGTGTAGCTAATTGCAAAGGGGAAATAACCATGCTGCTTTACTTTTTTGTGTAATACTGAAGGAAAAATGCACCATGCCCAATTTTATGTTTTTGCTATCCAAATCAAAACACTAAATATGTTGTTTTTTTTTTTTATTATTATTCTATTGATGGTTGTTTTTCCAGGAAATGATTAGCGAGACGGGTGCAGGTTAAAATTTGTCAATAATTAATTTATTTGACAGACAGGTTAGGAAAGACTTCAGGGAACAAACAAAAACGATATTTTAAGGTTATGGTGATTAAAATACTCAGGAGTATTAAACAATTTAAATATGTAGGGTAAATAATAGCGTACACAGAGTTTTAAAAGCTGGCAATACTGATTAGTTTTTGTTGAGACGCCATTTTTTTTGTCGCTTCAGTAGGAAGACTGTAGAGATTCCTTAGGATACTGGTGATGGCTGCACTTAAACTCTATTCTGCATTGATTGGAGTCTTTTCAAAATGGGAAAAACCCACTGTGAAATTACCAAAGCTCTGTCGTCATGGAGATACACATTTATTCTCTCTCTGCTGAACACCAAGCACATCTTATGAAGAAGCAACCTGTTATAACGTGCACATCCCTCCACATATGCTTTTACTTTGAAAAATAGATTTTACAATGAAGACAGGAAGTGCTTTTAATGGTTGTCTGGTAACGACGGCTGGAAATCAGGCGGGCTGTCACTACCCGATCCGTACCATCAGCTCATTTGTGCAAACAGACAGAGATGGCAAAAGTACTCACTTTCCATACTTGAGTAAAAGTACA